AATTGTGGATGGAGAGTTGGATAAATCAGTGGAGAGAATAGTACTAAAGTTAATAGATGGGTGGATGATAGATTGAAACGCGTGTATGGACGAATTTTTCAAAATAATAAACAACCTACACCTGTTTTAACACTTAAAAATGTTTAAATGAATTTATGTTAAATTTTCTTGTATTGTGAAACGAACCACTTACCAAACCAACAGTTATGTGAAAAGATAAATTTAACACCGTAAAAAAGTATGTGGAAAAACTTACTGACGTTTCGGATGTTAATCCTTCGTCGGAGTACGAAGGATTAACATCCGAAACGTCAGTAAGTTTTTCCACATACTTTTTTACGGTGTTAAATTTATCTTTTCACATAACTGTTGGTTTGGTAAGTGGTTCGTTTCACAATACAAGAAAATTTAACATAAATTCATTTAAACATTTTTAAGTGTTAAAACAGGTGTAGGTTGTTTATTATTTTGAAAAATTCGTCCATACACGCGTTTCAATCTATCATCCACCCATCTATTAACTTTAGTACTATTCTCTCCACTGATTTATCCAACTCTCCATCCACAATTTATAACCATGTGGGAAATGAGGCATTGTTCCATGTGGGATAGGTTCAGATTAAGAAATTAAGCTAAAGCATGCGCAATCTGAAGAATAGTGAAAACTTAGAGTGGGCTCAGTCAACAGTAGACAAAGTGGCATGTGGTTGCAACACACGATGTTGTGGATATAAGAAACGAAGCACCAGTCCTTGCAATAATTATAATTCACTTGATATATTAATTTACTTGATTAATTATAATGCATATGTTCAGGGTGTCGGCAATTCGAATCCTTGCGACGTATCAGTATATAAAGAGATGAAACCCTATCCAGATTACGGGACGGGAAAATACGTTTGCCGATGTCCAGCGGTTGTACCGAACAACACGCAAGGTAAAGACTAAACATTAATTATATCGGGGAAGAGGGAGCAGGTGAATTCAGGAGTTTGACGTTTTTCAGATACAGCCTTCATACATTCTAACATCCGGGAAAAAAAGAAATGTTTTGATAAAAAAAGAAGAAAAAAGAAATAAAAAGATATTTCAAAAATAAATATGAAATATTCAATTGTACAGGTTGGACCAAAGTGAACACAGACCCTGTTAAAGTTGGAACCAAAGATAATAGACCAGGAATTGTCAAGGTCCCAAAACCCGGCAAAATCCTTAAGTTTAAACTAGTTCACGTGTGTGGTGGTATTTCTTGTTCATATCGCTACCCTCTAACTCACTTTGGTTGTCACCAGTCGTTTTTTGGCCTTTTCATAACCGACACTACAAAGCAGGTACTATCACCCAAGCTAAAGCACCAACATGCCTCTTTTTACAGCATCCCAGGTTCAACGCCTTACGACGCCGAATTCACGCTTCCTGAAATGTCCCCAACTCTTAACGTTGCTAACCAACAAGAGCTCCAAATTTGGTATGGAGAGGATGCATTTAACCATTATGAAACTGATAATTTTGGCATTGTCCAGATTGACTTGTACTGCTATTATATCTAACAGGACTGATTCGCACGTATACACGATTCTCATAATGGCCGACACTAATTAGCATATTATCTCTCAATTCATAATGTTGACAAAAGAAAACAATCAAATGGTAGATATCAAAGCCAAAGATAAACTCTGAAAGTTTCAGGGGAAAATATTTAATCCTCTTGACGTTGTAAGGGTTAGAAGAGGTACGAAAACACCAAAACGAGGCTACCCAGTCACCAGCAAAGAATTCCATACAAATTTATGTATTTTAATTCCTCCATAACTTTGTTAGTTTATGGCTTCAAAACTTTCCATGAATACCTATATTTCCAGTAGTTCTTCCATATGACAGTGTTGAATGTTTCCAAAATATTATGAATTGTATAAAATCGATGGTAGGCACTCATGAGAGTGGTCTATAGGGAGGATTTCGCATGAGAGTATCCAAAAAAAAGGCACATTCGTGCTTTGGCCGTACCGTGCCGTGCCGTGTTGGTGATGTATTGTTGAATTTTTATTTTTATTTGGAATCACTACAAGGTGAAGTTCCGTGACCCAACCGTGCCCGTGCCGTGATCCTTACCGTTACAAAGTCATACGAAGTCCACTCTATCTTTATGTCAAAGCACCTTGCTCCATATCTGCATCGCAAAAAAAGAGAAAAGAGGGAAAATAAAAGACGTTTTCTGCTTGCTGGGTTGAATCATTCAAAAAAAAATAAAAGACCAATGACCATGTTGGTCAATTGTTACTGAAAGCTCCTCCAAGATGGACGCTTATGACGTAACCTGCAAACGAAGAATTTGTAGCTGGGYCTGCATTCAGTAAACTAGGAGACAATCGAATTCGTTCCATATAGATAACAGGGAATTTCGACATAGGATAACAATATATGCCTGTACTTAGTCTAATTTATTTAGGTATAATTAACAATAGAAGCGAATTTCCATTTAACGTAATGTTCATCAAGGAGACAATTGCCTGAGCATAAATCACTTGTATTGACAGCCGAGACAATTTCTCGAATGGCAGCACTTATAACTCCTGAAAACATTTCACATTCTCTCTAAATCTTGAGTACAATTTATATTCTGAGTGTAACGAAGCAATTGAAATACATTTTGTTAGAATAGGCATTTAGCGGGTGCCTAGTGGATACTTTGGCACGATTCCCTTTTTTCAGCACTGCTGTAACTCAAAAAACTTCAACTATCAGAATAAACWTACCTATAGAAACATGGAAAACGTAGTGACGGTGAAAAGTACGAAGAACAAGGCAGATCTATAAGAATGCCCTTCCCCCTCCCCCAATTCGAATTGGCTTTGAATTCAAAAGCACTAAAGAAATAATGATGACACTAATTCAGCCCCACCCCTCTCCRACTCCCCACAAATAACAAAAACAAACAAACAAAAAGAAAACAGTAACAATGATATTCATACCTATACTGACTACTGGTTCGACACCTATCTATGGCTATATTTAATTATTCCAAATAAATATTGCCAATATTTAGCGTACGAATCAAACACTGCTTGTTCTACATCTCTTGCTCAAATTGTAATATCCGTTTTATGTCCAAACTCGCCGTTTTTCTCGATGCTTCAAATAAACACGCACGCACGCACGCACGCACGCACGCACGCACGCACACATCTTACGTAGTTTCATCGGAAGATTATGGCGAGAGAAAAGTTGTATTTTTAAACTAAAATAACATGGGTCCCATGCAACACTATGATGAAACTCTGGAGTCTAAGTGGCCACCAAAATTATTAACATAAGTAACATTGTATCGATACACTATTTGTTGTTAATAAGATAGCAGTGAAGATCTTAATTCCCATAACAATATAGAATTCCACTAAATTTAGCCCCTTGTGATCCTTCAAACACGGCCACCTGCAAAAAATTGACAAAATCTAAAAGTTTTCCGTGTGCTTTTCTGTAAAACAATAATTAGTTTTCGTATAACTGTTGAGGCTTGTGAAAAAAATATCAAAACAACGAAAAAACATCTCGAAATATCATATTCACAACTTGAGAAAAGAGAAGAATACTTAAAAGGGAGTCTTTGAATCAGACATTTAAATTCTAAATGAAATGCAAACAAAAGCCATAAAAGTTTTCACTTTTACTCTCATAGTTTTTAATCCACTAAATTAAACCTTTCAGTCTTGGATGTTGCTTACGACTCGGCCACAACTTTATAAACTCATCCTTACACTGGCTAATTTGCTATGTAAACCTCTAGCCTAGAGACTTAGCATTGCGGCCTTCTGAGTCGTTTCATTTTAAATGACATTATAGTTGAACTGACAAAGCGAATGGCAGTTGTGTGACTGAAAACCCATTTAAAACTATAACATTCTGGATGCTTCATTTACAAATTAATCATGGCAAACAGGTTATGAAACTGGAGGGAGAAGATAATTCGAGTTTTTGTCGTCCGATCGTTTAGATGTGGGGTAACCATTCAGTGTATTAGTGCTTAAGTTTATAGAGGCAACTCCAGGAATACCAGCATTATCAATGACGCTKGGTCTTGCCTTGGACCMCGAGATCATCTCTTCCGGAATGACTCTAGCTCTTTGAAGGCCRAAACTTAGTTTACAAGCCGTTCGAAATTCAGCGCTTCTCATGGAATAGACCCATGGGTTCACAGCAGAACTCAGATAAGCAATCCATTCGATCCATATCCAAACGGTTTGCGCAAAGTACGTTTTTTTACAGCCATCTGGAAGAGTTAAGTTAACTGCTGCAACAACCAGACTTGGAAACCACAAAAAGAAAAACAACGCAATAACAATTCCAATTGTCCACGCGGTTTTCCGGTGACGTGCCTCTTCAAGTCGTCTTGTTTCCTTAGATGTCTTTGTAGTTGTTTCATTCACGATTCTTTTAAGCTGTTTCCTTGCAGCTCGAAAAATTCCGAAGTAACAATACAAAGTGACTGAAAAAGGGATGCCYCAGGAAATGACGGCTATAGCGACCCATAGTGCTCCGATATTAGACACAGGAACGTAAAGCCTCAAAGAAGCCAACAAAAAAGAAAACAGCCAGACAATGCTGATCAAATATATACAATGTTTTGTTGTGAAGAAAGCTTCGTATACAAAAACCTTAGTTATAGCAACATATCGATCAACACTCACTGCCATTAGTCCAAAAGTTGTTACCACAACCGCCTGAATCCACAAGAAGTCGATAGCAACCTTAAACGGGTGATGAGGATCGGTTAAGGCTTGTTTACCTAAGTAGCTGTATCGTATTGTACGTACAGCAAGTATGGGGTCCATTATCGAACCTACCAGCAAGTCAGACGCTGCTAGCGATGCTATAAACAGATTTGATGTTGTCCTAAGGCTACGAGTGGTATATATGGCTAATAGCACTAGGACATTTCCGAATACAGCAACCAATCCTGATAGAGAGCACAACACAGCAAGGATTATAAAAGGAAAGGATTTCTCCTTAATAAGGCACTCAGTATCGTTCATTGCCAATGAAGGTGTGAAAATATAGTGTTAAAATATTATAAAAATGAAGCAAGCSTTTTGCAGAGTCTCATCGCCGAGTGGCTGGTAAATTGGTGGTCTTGAGAATCGAGCCAAACTATTTGTTAAACCAATCGTTTGTCAACTAGGGACACCTGTCCAGTCGAACTATCCCATAATTTGCATAATGCAATCAAGGCACGACGTGGGTACAACTTAGAAGTACAACTTATTGAAAGTTTTGAGGGGGAATTTTCCCTGTGATTGTAAGTATGCGCATGTAGTACGCGGTAATAAAAAGGAAATTCTTGAGTTCTAAACTGTTGACTTTTCATTCCATCAGGGAGAACTGCTAATGATCACATGTAGTTATCTATAGTGAAAAGCAATGGTTTTCTTTGAATGAAAACTTGTTAATTTGTATATTGGAAGAACCCTTTTTCAGATAATGTAAACATGAACTGATGAGCCTTCAAACAAGATGTTCACCTAACAACCGACACAAAAAAAATTATTTAAGTAAGAAAGGTATATTATTTCTAGACGGTCTATGATATTCGCCAATGTAAGATTTTGGCAGACGTGAAATTTCGAAATATGGCATCTGACAAAAGACGTAAATAATTCCTTTAATTTGTTATATCAAATATAATGCTTGAATTTGTTGAACACTTTGTTTCTTTTTAGTAAAAATATGAGCTTAAACATGTCTGCAGGCGATTTCTAACGGTTTAAGTTTAGATATAAGGATTATCATTGAATGCAAGCCAGTGGAAAATGCAACAACGAAGAAAACGTGATATGAAATTCCCAGAAAATCGGTAGATTTGATGTGAAGTGTATTAAAATAAATAACACTTATAAACGTGGCTAGAATTTCGGTAACCTCTTCAAGCTCTAATTTAAAGTTCAATGAATTCATCCAGTCTGAGATCGGAGCGAATTGAAAGATTTAATTTGATGGGATAAAGACGTTTCGTGGCAGATCCATTTCAATCCTGGATATTTTTTTCCGTTTTAATAATGTACGAAAAAAGCTGCTTATCTATATAATATGTATATATTTCTTGGCCGTTTCTTTCCGATGGTTTTTGTTTAAATAAAACGTTTTGTTGGCCTTAATAAATATGCTCCAATATGATAATCATTCCCATCATTAGAATCAGAGGAAGTTTTCATTTAACATTGTCATTATTTCGTTCAGGGAACAATAAACCAAAGTTTATCGCTTTAAAAAGGAAAAAGAGAGAATGACTGACATTAGTCAAGCCTGAAAAAACTAGTAAGATTGGTAGGATTAAAACGTCACTACTTTTAGCTTAGTTTGATGCACTTGGAAAGGAAGCCATGGACGTTTGACCATACCACGTCATTATTATATTTGTTTGCGAATATAAATGACATTTCTAGGTAATAATTCAATGTTCGCGATATCATCGTATGTATTTAACTCAGAATATATCGTATACATCTATTCAGAAAACGTAGAAATACCGAATATTGCATAATGCATATTAGCTGCATTATAGAACGACAATTTTTGAATAAATTGCTTTTTATTGAAGTTTCTGATTGTACAGAGCTGGTATAGTTACCCTGAATCCACGGAAACTCATTTTGTACGCATTTTGATCTTGGAATTGTACACTAGTAAAACTTGTAGCATTTTATATAACTGTTCTTATCATAATTATTCAAGAATGATGATGATTATAATAAAGATGATCAATCATATCAAAACAGGTTCCAGAGTATTGTTCGGTCAATAATTTGAAGTCACCATCCTTGTAGCGCTCTCGAGCAGACTAGACAATTTGTATGCTTCCATAATGAGATGAAAACATTTAATATAAATTTCCGAGTCGATATATATAAAAGGTCGTTAAATTAGGAATTAAATTTTCTTAATGAGCGATAAAAACTTGACAAAGAACAAAATGAGCGCTCAGTGAAGTTCTTTCAACACGATTTGTTAGAGAAACCACACATGTAAGCCCCTCTTTTCCTGTTTGGTTGATCTAAGTTTGTTTTTTCTATAGTGTTGCATAAAGGAATAATTATAAGTCTAATTAGACAAAAAATAGTTCAGAAAACCTCGATCTTTTGAGGCCATCATCATCTAAGAATACTCCATTATTTAATATTATTCAACTATATTTTGAAGAGCGATATCACATTACAGAAGAACAAACAATTGTTGTACAAAATGCGATTCTGTTGATTTTCTTGTGTAAACACAATAGAAAATATAAAGTAAAAGTAATTTACTTCATAACAGAAAGCCAAATTTAAATTGTCAAATAATTTCAAAKTACCTTMTATTTATCAGTTGTAGTTGTTGTGCGTACTACTCTTGCTACTAGCTTATCCCGTGCATGACAAAGAATCTAAAAATCTTGTAAAAATAGTCAATTGTATTCACTAAGAAATAAAGAGGATATTACATGGTCTCTTGGAGATACGAATTTTATCTTCTCGTTTTGAAAATCTCTCACCCGTTCGCGTTTATAATTACATATGTCGTATAGCTTTTTTCTTACTTCCACTATATAGAGAACCCTTGAATGTGCTATTTTCACTAGTAAAAATAACAGCTTTATGTAATGGAGAAATAGAAGTATTTTATAGATAATTATATGATAAAGGAGAAATTGCCGTAATTTTTCGGTGGGTAATATAGCTACATGGATAACAAGAAAGCGGCCCCCTTTAAGGAATTCCCACCATATCATTATTGTTTTAATAATACAGGGGCCGGTAGAGGGTGGATTAAATTATCCACTTTACAAATTTTGTACCGACTTTATCCGCTGAAAAAAGATTTGTGGATAACGCTGCTCACCGTTCGTAGCAACCGGCCTCAGAAAGTTAAATGCTATCGAGAGCGAGTCATGCAAGCCCTAGTGGTGAACTGAAGTACGCTTMTCGACKAATCAGAATGACTTATGATCGGGCATATYTGGACCATTCATCCGATCGCAGGCTTGAAATCATGCTTAAATCTATCCGTGTTCGCTGATCGCCACCTAAATAAAGTGCTCATCTTTACAACATTTGATATAAGGATCTCACTTTGCACACAAGCCACAAACGAGAAATGATGCCAATAACTCATTGTAGTAAACGAATTAAAAAGGAAACTTTTCAGTCTATATTTTGAAAATTATGAAATTCAAACAGCAAGAATCACGCTTTTCTCCTCTTTTTCCCCCTGTAACTTTGGAAGTCGAGGATTAGTCGAACGATTATAATTTTGAAATAATAATTATGGCAAAATCTCGTCTGGCATTAGTAGAACAAGTCATATAGTTTTGAAGCAGGTTTTTCAAATTGTTTTGAATTCTACACGATGTGCTTCCGGCTAATTTTCACAAAACTCATTTCGAGCAATCCTTGTTCAAAATCAGTACATACGTAATTTCTTTTGAAGAAAAAACAATTAGGTCCTTAAAATTGGAAACTTGTTTTCTCTGACCGGTAATTCTCAATTTCCACAATAGAATAGCCTAAACAATTGAGAAACCCCAGGACTTCAAACCTACGTCACACATCCGCTCATTCCCAGCATGTTGCATTGTGGGATCGAGGACGACATCTTTTGTGTTTCATATCTTTACACAGCTGTATTGTCTGACAAGATCATAACAAGAAAAAAATAGCCTTCTTCACAAACATAGCAAACTTCGCTTAAAATTAAAATTCTTGATTTTGCTGTATTTACACGGCGAGAGCTTTGGACTTGAAAATTTGATGGATCTTGTGTTGTCGCAGAAATGTTGACGTTGAGGTTAAAGGAGGTTGATGATTGGTCCATTGGTGTGAGATAAAAGAGCTTTCCTGATTGGTTGATCAGTCAGAAAAAAAGGACCTACATGATTGGATGATTCAGTGAGGGATAAAATGAGTTGGATAACATAAATGAACAGGGTGCATTAAATGACATGATAGGTGACGTCATTAATCTAAATAGCCCATAATATTGATCCTCTACTACGACATGAACTCAATATCATCTAAAAAGAAAATGATTAGTGACCGTAAGACCGTTGAATTAAAATGTCTGTCAAAAAATGATCAACTTAATTAAAATAACCTTCTTCGTGCAAAACGTAATGATTCCAAATAATTGATATCACACAGTCGTACTAATTAACAGTCTGCTCAGACATTTTTGTGATGGCCAGAAGGCAAATACATATTAGACTTCTCTTCAATTTTGTGCTAATATAACAGATCTTAATCAATATATGACAAAACTGCTGATGGATTTCAGATCAGAGAAATAACGTTTTTTACACCTCGGGCATCTCGTTATCACTATTCAAGATGMCCGCTATAGGAAACATAACCCCGCAACTGATTGAGAAGCATTGAGCGAAGTATAAAAAGAGACAAAGCATCCAAAGGCACAACAAGATCAACGTAWASACGTCATTGAAGGGGTATGATCGTCAARCTTTYTTTGTGGAGTGATCACTTGACGTCGAGTCGTGACAAGTTTTGTGAGCATCTTCAAAGGGACGTGAATTGGATAAAATCAATAAAGTCAAAGATCTCTACTTTATTTGAAAATGATAATAAAATTGTTTTAAGAGATGTTAAGTAAATTAGCATACGACACGTTCTTTAGAAGTCGGCCAACAGACCACGACCCAATTGATGACATGAATGAAGGCGTTTAGGACCACAATGCCGTTGAATAATTATATAGATGTTAAAGTTATTACTGAGTTTCTATTTCTTGGAAATACGTGCAGTCAAAAACGTGGAGGTTTCGTCATAGGATGTTGACGTCTTGCCGAGGAATAACGTCACCAGTAACCTAGAAGTTTGATATGTAATTCCTGAAAATGAATGCTGTGACCTGTAAAGATTATCTCCAATGTTTACAGCAATAAACGATCTCGGTAATGAGACCAGTCGTATTCGCCAAATATTAGACTTTAGTGCAGCCGGTTTACAGTAGTTACCCATGAGTCACGGGCGATTGTTTTTTTTTTTTTAATCTTTGTCCAATTTCAGATAGCTCGGAGAAGACGGTTTCATCGTCTTCTGTTTTACTGACATAATCTAACTTATGGCAGAGAAAACGAGTTTATTAGCGGAAGACTTGATTTATCACTAGTATTCAAGTGGACAAAATACTGAGATACTCTTTAATATGTCCACTTTCATTGAAGGAAAATGCTAGAGTTCKAATTAATCAAGAGATCGCTSAAAGCACATTTGAGGAAGTGCACCACAAGCTAATAGATCTCACTTTATCTTGAAGTCAATCGTAGAGATTTGAAGTTCCATTGATATTYGTGGTGATTAAACATAAAACATAAAAGAGTTAATGGCCTATCAACCACAAACATCGAGTGGGCATTTGAGGCTTTTATCATAGAAACGTCGAGTCACGATATTCACTCTCGTTTAGAACTTCCTTCTTTGTGTCCAAAATACTTGTTTATTATGAATATCAGTCTGATAATGGCAAACTACAAAAGGTGACGATGCAATGTTTGTACAATAATGAGAAGTCATAAATGAGTATTGAACCTCGCTGTTTACTGATACTGAACACGGTTTACTGATAGTTATTAATGATGATAATAACTGAGAATATGTTATTGATTGCAACTGAACTATACAACGTAACTTTCCTTTTATTTCTCTTTCTTTCTTTCTTTCTTGTAATTCAACTCCTTAGCAAGCTTTCGCCAAGGACATTCAAGTCCCTATATATAACTATAAGTGAGCAAGAATACTGACAAGAATGTCATGATAATCATGATGACAATTATGATGATGATGTCCACGCAGGTAATGTTGACATGACGTAACGATATGAACAAACGATAACAGAAAGCAATGACAATATCATAAAAAACTAAACCAACGGTTTAATACTGCAAAAATGACCACTAAACAAAAATGGCAGTCGAATGGTCTAACTCACGATGTGTCTCGAAAATCGGTTGAGACTCAAGATTGAGACAATTTATCAAGCTTAGCCATCAGGCTTGCAATGTAGGAACTTGTTTGGTTATTCTAGTGTTTTATACATGAGCTCTGGCTTGGGCAACCACGCCCCACATCGGACAATAAACTGATTGATTGGTTATAAGAGAAGTAATTTAAACAACGCCATTCACCTTTCTGGGTTTCCTGTGTTTCTTTGTTTGATAAATGCTGAGCAGTTTTCAACTGATCGGGACATTGTCCGGCGCCCGCGATACTCTTTCTAGAACTGAACCTACAACTTCATGCATAATTTAAATTCGTATATAACAAATGGGTAGCAACTCACTATAAACAAATCGTAATTGTTGTTTTTTTGTTATAATGACGATTTTTCTTCAGGCAAAGTCCGCCCAGCATGAACCTTGCCGCCTTTCCGGACGCTACAATGAACAGCAAAACGATTTCTCTACAAATTGATAATCAATGTTGAAATATAATGATTATTCACAAATAAACGTGCTACGATTTTAGATAACGTTGAAAACAAGGGAAAAGCTCAATTACAGCATATTTATGGCTTACGTGATACAGTGTAATATGATATAAACTGAATATAGAAAGTAACGGTTAATTTTCATGATAACTTTACGATACAGCTTACAAAACTGATGTGATTTTCGATTCTGATGATTTTAAGGTGTGAACTCCTTACGAAAAAACTTACTCTTTTTCAATCATGAAAAAGTTCATTTGCAATATGTAATCATCTGAATTTTTAATATAGCCCACACGATATGAATTCTTCACGTAATCTTTTTATTTTTTGAAGTTAAAAAATTAATTCACTAAATGTAATCTTATATATTAAACCATGATCAACATTGATCTTAAAGTGTGAAAATTTGTAATTGAGCTCACTTGTTCATTTTTAGTTCTTTGTTTTRATTGGTRGGGACATTGCTCGTGAGATGTAAGGCCCCTTGAGCGTGTCTCCAAAGATAAATGTTCTAGTCAAATCTACACAATCGTGACAAATTTTAATCAATAAATCTGACGCTCTCTGATCATGTAATCACTTTCGTTTGTGTACTTAAAAGGGGGTTTTTATTGCAAAAGGCTTTTATGGCTCCGAACGTCGACACGAAGAGTGTTAGCAATGATGTCGAAGAGGTTTGTTTTCGTTTGATAGCCTATGGTCAGRTCCTGACAGCAAATGAGAATTTTATCATTCAAAACTCATCGTTTCTTTTTGGATAAAAAGGAAAACTTTCATAGAGGAATATATTAAGTATTGAGCACGACTTTGATCTGTGTCTCGTGAGTCTGGTTGGAAAGAGTAATCCGCTGTCGATACACTTCTTAAAGTCAATATCTATATTTCCTGTAGTGGTTACTCGAAAAAACTCTTGCGGATCTATATGAAAAGGTTGACACTAACGAGTTTAACATTGGAAACAGTAAAACTTCTAAACAAGCAAATCAAGGAGACGTCGCCGCAAACTCCAAAGGATCGAAAGTCACTATGAACTACTCAAATGTAACTAGTAATCAGTGGAATTACTGTCATGGTAAAATGGAACTATCTGTAATGGTTATTCTGGTGGTTCTTAATTGTGTTTCTTCAGGAGCCGCGCTCACTGGTAACACCATAGTCCTCGTCGTAATATCTCAACTAAAAACTCGCAATGTCTCAATCTGTATAATTGCATCATTGTCAGTCGCTGATTTACTTGTTGGGCTCGTTATGAACCCTATTCTAGTGGCTAAGATCTTACTGGCGGTCTGGCAGGGGGACCACTGGCTTTCGATTACAGCGGATTTTATGTGGATACAAATGACAGCTGCTACTTCACTAAGTTTGTGCGCTGTCAGTTATGATCGTTTCGTAGCTATCAATTCAGTTTTTCACTATCAGAAGTTTTTATCTAAAAAACGCGCTATCGTYCTTATCGTTTTTATCTGGATTTTTTCATTTCTCTTGGCATCTTTAAGACTTTTTCTAGAGCCGCAACATTTGTCCAAATTATGGCTCACAGCTACAGTGATAACGGTGTTGCTCCCTCTAGTTTTCATTGGTTATTGCTATTTTCATATCTACAAAGCAGCCAGGAATCAAAGACAGAAAATCGCYCGGAATGAACTCAGTCGAAAGCAGAAAAAAGCAGCTATCAGAAACAAAAAAGCTGCTCTTACTGTGGCCATTGTSATTGGTTTATTCGTATTGRTATGGATACCAACCCTCATTGCATCGATTGTAGAGATATTTATTTCTGGTTCTTGCAGAGCTCGGAAGAAGATCGATTTTGCATGGTTTTGGGTAGCCTTTTTATCGTTTGTATCATCTGCGGTAAATCCATGGGTCTATGCGTTTAGGATCCACGAATTTCGATGTTTTTTGAAGCGTCGATTTGGYCAYARGCAGYACAKGAGAAACAAAACTAGTTYCAGTAAATCTTGCAAGCSTGACGAAAGCTGTGCTGATCCAAGTTGACTTCTTTCGAAACTTCATCAGCCAGAGTTATTCTATAGACCCTCTTTAGAGAGGAAAATCACAGAAAATWAAGGTTTCAGATTGCATATTACCYTTTAAAATCTGGGCGTATCCTGATTTAAGCCCATGCAACATGTGAAAAATGAATGAGAAATAGGAAAAAAGAATGAAAAGAACAACAACAAAAGTAAAAAGACAGCCAAATAATTCAAGAATAATTGTTTTTCTAAGCGGACATCGAAAGTCAGATCATACGWAGTTTCCTGATCTGAGAGGAAGACAAATATTATTGTTTTAGTCGAAGTTTCGTACGTTTGTTATAATTGATATATTGTGTACAAGTTATGTGCTCAACAATTATGTTATTAGTTATATAGTACGAATTCTATGAGATTTTTCCCTCACTCGACATTCACTCACTCAGTCGACACTCACTCACTCGACATTCCCTCACTCGACACTCACTCATTCGACATTCACTCACTCGACACTCACTCGACATTCACTTACTCGACACTCACTCACTCGACATTCACTTACTCGACACTCACTCGACACTCACTCACTCGACACTCACTCGACACTCACTCACTCGACATTCACTCACTCGACGCTCATTCACTCGAAGCTGACTCAATGCTCACTTTCTCACTCACTCTAAAATCAATCAATCAATCAATCAATAATAATCAGTAAAAAATAACGATAATAAATATAATTCATATAGTGCCCTCATTATAAATATTCGATGGCGCTGATCAATCAATCAATCAATCAAGCAAACAACTCTAAGCGATCGAACCCACTAACTTTTAATTATCATAGCGCAACGAACGACGCTRTATTGAGCTCATTCTAGGTGACGCCCTTYTTTTTCTTAGACATTTGCGTTCGTGTATACGAAATGTTTTCTTAGTTTTTCACGAGAAGCATTTTTTGAACCAATTTTGCAGTGTGCCCTATTAACATCATAGCGGTTAATCAAACTCTCTCAACTTTCCAAAGCAAGTGATCACGTGATCAAGTGATCAGAGACTCACGTGCTGTTTACAGTATTAGTTCTGCCGGAAGTCATAATCATCATCTTATGAACTTGAATGTAAATTAACGGAAAGCATCCCACTTGTATTATCATCACAGAACCAACTCCATTGGATGAATACCTTTAGATCAACTCAAAATAAGAAAATTAGACATTGCCTCATGCAGTGCGATAAAAMCRCACCCTACGCACTTCCTAACACTTCAAGCTAGTCTAACAAAAAAATAAAACGTTACTAAAGCGCATGCTCAGTAGGTTTTGCTCATTTGGTTAGACCGGCTAACTCCAGAACYAAATATTTGAAACATTGTCCGAAAGTTAGCCTTAACGCTTACAAATTGCACTGGACAACAGAGAACACTTGTAAGAACGAGTTCCAACATCTGGTGGCAAACGAACGAAGGTAAATTAAATCAGTCATTTCTCAAGTTCCATAAGGCCCGTTTATTTACAGACTTGTGATTTTTGCAGCGCGATTGCTGTGGCTATCGTCGCGCGACCATCGCCTGAGTTTCTAACATGCTTGAAATTTGGCCGCAACATCGCGGCGTTTTTCGATCGACGCAACCATTTGAGTTGTTCGATAGCAAATGCGATCGCGCTGCAAAAATCGCAAGTATAAATGCCCCGAGTCTCGGGTCAACAATTTTTCGACATTTTTCTTTAAATAATGCGTGTTAAGTAAAAGAGTTATTTTATTTTGAGAAATTTTCTGAAGAATTCTTTTTATCAATTTAGAAATACCTTTCGATAGTAGTGGTCTTTCTTCAATCCTACTTTACTATCAAGATATTTCGTTCCAGGATCAAATTATATCTTAAAAGGATCAAATAAACTTAAACTTTGACATATGGAAAGACTTAAGTGGACTTTTTCAACAGTAGAATAAATATATGCACTTAACTTAAGAGTAAAAAACAAAAAAGAGATAGATTAATCCAAGAAACAACTGGACATAATGTTATATAAAGAGAAATACGCATTTTATCGGTCTCAAGGAATAGACCATGGAAAAAATAACCGTAAAAAATCTCCACATTAATAAGTACTGGACCAATTTTTATTATTTACTTTTTATAGAAATCTTTTTACCACATACGTATCAAATAATTGATAAACTCTAACTGTTAAGAGAAAGACGATCAATGACAAGGTGATTTTCATTTGAGTTTTAGGCGACCACTGCTGCTAATCTAATTTGTTGTAGTCTACTTCTATCTTATTATCGACATCAAGTCAAATGACATTCGCAGTTCGTCCTCTTTATATCATGTCTATCGCCTGCAGAGATGTTTTTCCAAGCTTTTGGGAAATTATTAGATATTGGATCTTTAAAGAAAACATGCACTTGATGAAGGCAGAAGAGAGTTCTAGTTTTTGTACTATTGTATACCTTAGGAACTTGTTGTAAACATACGGAATTCAAGCCAATGTTTCCGGATCTTTTAATGTACCTCCGTCGTTGTCTGAACTTGCTCTAAAAGTTGAACATCTGATAATCCCCAACAAAGATTCCGGTATTTGCAAGGTTAGTAAGGATGCTATTTTTTCCCCCTTGTTCAGCAAAAAAATTGCAACRGTAAGACACTTCGGGTCTGAAGCACTTCGACGTCTTTTTAGGCAACAGTTAAGCATTAGGAAAAGTTTCCGTGAAACCGCGTTCTTATTATTAATATCAGTAGTTTTGCACAGTAATTGCATGTCGATGGCGGACAAAAACGCAAAATGACAACTAGCCTCTTTTTCCCTCTTTTTCGTGTAGCAACACACAACTTTCTTGGACACACAGAAAACAATGAATGAAAAAATTGAAAAATTGACAATGTWGTATTTCGAATGTTCGGACCTCGTGTATTGTTTTCCATTCCCTTGAGGATCAGACGGTGATCCGGGGCATAATAAAAGATAATAAAATAAATTTTATGTCAGTGTGGACAATACAAACATCACTAGCTACTTCGAAACTAGCGTGCAAGGATCGACTACCTCTTTGTCTTGTCAGCCATATCATAAAAAATGCCTTGACAATAAAATCCTTTCTAATCTCATAGATAAAGGGAAACCGGCTATGTTCAAATGAGCTTCAAATGCGAACTGCTTTCAAAGCTAAATTTCCTAGCAAAGTCGTTTTACTGTGATAATACTTTTAAGAATTTTCTCAGGTACTTTATAATACTAACAGTTTTTATTGACCAACGGTAAGTAAACAAGAGGCGACACATTCATATATTGAATTGCCTTTCGGTCTTTACGTTATCGGTCCGCTATCGAAAGCCTTTGGATTTTGATTTATAAGATTTATAGTTCTAATTCGTTCAGTATGATATTTGTTGAATGTGGATGATTAGGGTTGTAGCAATATGAATCACTCAGTCTCAAGTACAAACTATTAAGTGTTCGCAAAAGGAAGCATTCGTAATACCAAGGTTTTAATTGCCACTACCATACGATACAACGTGTGTATTTCAGAGTATCTCAAGTAAAAATAAAGCGTTCGTAATACTTGTAAGCGTTCGTAATACCGAGGTTTTCATTGCCACTACTATACGATAAAACGTGTGTATTTCAGAGTATCTCAAGTAAAAATAAAGCGTTCGTAATAGGTAAGCGTTCGTAATACTGAGGTTTTTACTTGAAGCTACCATTACTATACGATACAACATATAAAGCGTTCGTAATAGGTAAGCGTTCGTAATACCGAGGTTTTAACTTGAAGCTACCATTACTATACGATACAACATATAAAGCGTTCGTAATAGGTAAGCGTTCGTAATACCGAGGTTTTAACTTGAAGCTACCATTACTATACGATACAACATATAAAGCGTTCGTAATAGGTAAGCGTTCGTAATACCGAGGTTTTAACTTGAAGCTACCATTACTATACGATACAACATATAAAGCGTTCGTAATAGATAAGCGTTCGTAATACCGAGGTTTTAATTAAAGCTACCATTACTATACAATACAACATATGAAGCGTTCGTAATAGGTAAGCGTTCGTAATACCGAGGTTCAGATTAGTATTTATGATACAAAGAGCTGGAATACACAAGATCTATGTCACTAGGTCGAAAACAGCTGTCCACTAAACAAGATTTGCTGGATTGATCGATGAGCTATAGGAAGGTTTACGTAATACTGGGGGCTATTATTATATTCTAGTGATCGGTTACTATTTATTTTCTCAAAAAAGATTTGACACACATTGTTAATCACTTTTAGGTTGTCTGTAATACGGCGACAGGTGTTCGTAAAATATAGAAGTCACTTGGCAGTACAGTTATCTTAAAAAATATCAATCGAGAAGTAGAAAAATAATTAAAATGTACGACCGACCGATGAAGTGGGAGTATTTAACACTTTAATAACCATTCTTCAATTATTTACTAGCAAAGCACATGAAGCATGGAAGTTGTAGTCCTCGCACTTTTCATGATAGCCCTAAAAATCTCCCTAAATTTTTCGCTTTCTTTGTAGATTCGTATTTTTATTTTCGCAAAGAAAAAGTAAAAACAGCAAAGGAGGGCTCTTTTAGCTCACTTGAAAAAGAGCGAGAACTGCAACTCCCATCATGCTTTGCTGCACAAAATGGCGTCGCTGCACATTGCCATCGAAAAAACGTTATCAGGTTCAAAAGGAGTCCATCAAGGTAGCTATGACAACCAAGTGGAAGTATAACTGTGCTGTAGTTCATTGCCATCACTGTACAAACTTAGATGAACCGGCTTAGCAAGAGAAAAAAATCACATTTCCCACTAGCCAAGTTCACTTTCGATGTCACCATTTTGCGTGTAACAACACTTTGTCAATTAGGTGTATACATGCACTTAAGAATCTCCAGAATCATGACGTTACGCTCAACGGATGAATTAAATCTACAAGTAATTAAAATTACGTGATTTCATAWCTGTGATGTGGGACGGGATCGCTCACTTGAAATCTATTTGATGTTGTTCGTTCTGCAGGCGGCCTCAAGTACAAAGCAATCAAAGACATCAGGAACAATGTCAATTCTCTTGACAGGAAGATCAAACGAAGAGGCATTGTATAGACTCCAAATATAGCACCACAGCGAGCTATGAACACTCAAAGCTACAACGAACGATCTATGTGGCACTAAAAAAAACTATCAGGTAATAATAAGATTCCTTTTAAGGACGAATGAAATACTTTAWTCTGGATCGATTCATCTAGAAGGTGTGAAAAGCAAGTCGGTGCGCTAATATAGTTATCCCTTCGAGCACCTGCGACTTGAAAAAGCTACAATCTGCCGTCTCAATAGTCCTTCGACAAAGTTCCATCAAGGATAAAGATAAGTGAAGGCTAAAACTGACYATTTCCGCTCTTTTGCAGCACCCAATGAATATATAATACAAATTGACGATTTTTTTRCACTCTTTTAAGAAAGAACAATCGATTAACCGGCTTAATTTCTCATGCAACGAAACGCCGGCGGACACCGAAGTTAATCTGCTTTTGCAGTACCAGAKGACAAGTCATCAGACGTATTTACCTAAAATGATTCAACCGAAAAGTAGAAGAAGTGAACTTAATCATTTTGAAGTGTTCAGAACACTGAAAACGTATTGAGAAAAAAAATCCGCTTCATTCTTTGATCTCCATAAAACTTGCAGAAACAAAAACAGCAACAACATAAACGATAATAACAACAAGCACAGAGGAAAAGGCATGGACATCGTCAATTCTCCAACCAAGGTGAATTCTTCACAGACATCATGCAATTACGCCATTGATCGTACAAACGTTGCTCTATCATCAACATTTACGGCTGTCATGGCGACGGTGGCAATAGCCGGCAATCTGCTTGTTCTCATTGCGATTGCAAAAACGCCTCGGTTACGAACGGTGACTTGTTACTTTGTCGCATCTCTTGCGGTCGGTGATCTCTACTTAAACGTTATATTGGTTCCAATGTGGATAGTTAAGTTGGATAAAAATCTGTGGACATTGGACAATCATCCACTTCAGCTGGCGATTGAGTTTTTTAGTCTTCAAATGGCTACATCAGTTATATTCAACTTATGTATGGTGAGCGTTGATAGGCTTATTTCCATAAAATACGTGTATAAATACGCACAGATATTGACTCCTAAACGATGCATGGTTGCCATCGTCTGCATATGGGTGKTGTCACTTGTTTTTGCGTTTCCTCGTCTTCTTGTGACTGACATTACAGACGTTTCCAGACTGTTTGCCATTTTCGCTTTGGTCGTGATGCTAATTCCATACATGATCATTATATACTGCTATGTTCGGATATATAAGGTAGCTAAGATTCAAGCGAAAAAAATCGCTCTGAGCCTCTTCACCAGGCTCCAAACGGAGAGAAATAAAAAAGGTTCAATTACGATAGGATTAGTCATTGGAATCTACTCTCTGCTTGGGCTTCCTGTGGTAATCGTAGCCATTGTTGATTATATAAAGACTATTCGGGATCCCTGTGCGGCGACTAAAATGCGTGTGTATTGGATGTGGTCGCTAGCTCTAAGCTACAGTCACTCGGCATACAATCCATTTATCTACGCCGTAAGGAATGAGCTTTTTAACCGTGCAATTCGTAAAATATTGGGTTTGAAATCTGGTCGAGTAAGATTAGTATATACAGCATCAACGATCAAGAAACAATAATAATACTGTTACTGGACAAGTATTCTGCACACCTTAAAAGATGGAATAATACCTAATAGCATTCTATGAATACAGCTTTGCTATGATTTAATACTGATTACAGCCACGTTTTCTTGGCGTTGGTCTAGCATGTTCTGCAAACCATGTTTGAGAACTGATCGAGCCTATTCAAACCATGGACAGAATTGAGATAAGTATTATATGAAGGCGCAATGAAAACTGCTTAATCCGATGACGTCTTTCCACGTTTAAAAGTTACTTTACAAGTAAAGTAACTCCATCAAATGTTGAAAATTTCAATATGCGCGCACATATAACACGACACCTTATTGGATAAAATCCTGATCGCACTTCCTTGGATTTCTGTCTACATCTGCTGGATAGCAAGCTCACGGTTTGTGTACATCCGGCTTTTGACATCATCCAATCCTTCCCATCAATCATTTCGCGAATAAAAAGATGCGAATGGGTGTGTCTAGTGATCGCGGGCTCATCGGCGCGGCTCAGCTTTTGATTAGCAAACTTTCTTTTACAAAGTCATTTATGAAGGATGTAGTGTTTTTGTTTAAATCGCAAGAATAATCAGTCTTTGTTATTTTTTCCGTCGTATATATTCAATTCAGTGGAGCGCGCCTAATATTCTGGACGGCGTCTCACATGGTTTATTAACCTCCAGTCAGCTTGAACTGATGATTTCTTTTCATATCTCACTACTTTCTCCTTCATTTCTCATCTTTTTCATTACGTAGACTTCTTTGTATAAATTAATTAACTTTTTCAGTTCTTCACTTAATTTATTTTAACTTTAATAACCCGGTTATTTGTCGCCAAAGCAATAAAAGTGCGGCAGCACGTCCGATCATCAAGACCGTTATGTCCTTCACAAAATTACATTAGCAATTGAAATGTAGAAAACTAGGGATTAAAAACGGTTTTCAATCTACAATGACGTAAATCGAGATCAATTTTCAAGATATGCCAAATGACATTGCCGTGATAAACCACAGCAAAAATCTCGGAAACTAGATGGAAATTGGCTTGGCACATGATATAATATTATTATAAAAGCAAAAGATTTCTTTGTGAATTGATTGATCACATGCCATCAAAGCAACTGAGAGAGGTAGATTGCACTGGTAAGTATATGTCCCATAATGTCTGATCAGATAATAACACTCAGTCGTGTCTTGATCACTTCATTGCAGTGAAAATCACTTCATCGATCTTTTGTTCTAGAACGTCAGCAGGTCAAATAACAAATTGGAAGATTCGATCAATTCCATTCAGGAAATGAAATGGAAATTTTAATTTCATCTGATTTAAAGACGTTAAATTGGTCCTCAGGCTTTGGTCATTTTCACGGTTTCTAACTAGATCTGTTGTTGCGCATCTGTTGTTTTCCCAGCTTATGGCTTTTTGTTCGTCATTAAGTGAAGTTTACGTGGAGATTCTTATTGAAACAAAAGGACGGAAACATAGTATTGCATTCACATAAATTTASACAGCAAATATTGAAGATCTCAAGAATAAACCTAAAAAGGTTTTGTTAAACAATCAACCGGCGGACGTCCATTTGGTTGAGTCGGAAGAGCATTTCACTTCACGACAGAAAAGCATCATTTTGGAGTTAACTCAAGGTAAGCTAAGGTAATGCTGCTTTGGGTTTTTTTTTAATTATATAATGTCTAATATTCAGGTTTATGTTGAGCATCAATGCATCTCAATYTTGAAGATGAAAACAACGACAGTGGTTGCATGCAAAAATAAAAAAATGGCCTTGACTGAAAAAAAGGAAAAACTATGACCATAATAAGGTTGCGAATCGTAAATGACATCTGTCTATCTGAACGTATTCATGAATTGAAATATTATGAGATATCTTCATCATAAATGAATTTCATAATCATCTTAAATTCACTGATCGGTTTATATGTGAATAATCCAAGATATGGCCGCGCGCGAGGCATGGCGGTTGACTTTGACCCTCTATAGCGAAAAAAGGATCGAGAAGCAGCATTAAGGTGAACATTATGTTCTTATATTACTTATTTATTCTTATGTTATACTTCGTTCACTGTTCAATTATTTTCAAATGCGTGTAAGTAGATTACTACTTTCCAAGTAAAATATGCAAACTTTTAGATTTTTTTTATTTCAATTTTAAACTACCTGAAGAAAGGACGATAAGAAGGTTTACAGAGATTGTCAAAAACATGTACTAACTGAAATACGAAAATATATAAGTAATTTTAGACAACTTACTAAATACAACATGATACAATAACAGAAAATGACAGAGGGATGTGGATACGAGTACACATTTTTACGCCATTAAACCAAAATCTCTCGGATACAATAAATTCTCTTGAATAAAAAAGAATACTGAGTGCAATGTGAAAAAGATGAACTTATGGGAAAATGAACTTATATAGTGAATTAGGAGAAAATATCCTAATAAACTAATAAGGTAATTAAACGGCAACATCAAAGCGGTAAGAAGGGATTAATTCATTGATACATCATTAACAAACATAACGAAGACTCATGCGGGAGACTTTGGTTGCATCCCCCGCGCAAGCTAGCTAATCCTTCCTTGCTAATCGTTTCTGATTCACATAAAATTGCTAATGAAGCTAACAAGCAGTTTCTGTTGCTGTTTGTTTTTTCCCTAGGAGAGTATGCCTTTTTTATCGTCTCATCGACTTAATTCGAACCATTTCATGTATTTCTCAAATTACAACACGATTCGATGAGAGCGCTATGACGTCATGGAATCTTGTTTTAGGAAACGCGCATGCTCAGTCATGGAATAAAGTGTTATTATCATTTAAGGAGTTCTCTAACTCAAAGAAGGCGCTAACCTAAGCACGGAAACCAATCACGTAAATTTTCCATATTATTTTTAYGAAGAAAATAAGTCTATCCGGGAACGCAATGCCGKAAATTGCAATATTGCTAAACCAACTGCAGTAAAATATCCAACAGACTTGAGATATGAAACTTCACATCATCATATCAATAATGATTGTCCTATTACAGGCCCATCGCGAATACAATTCGTTATTTTCAATTACCACTTGTGAACATACATGAATATAAATGGCAAGTAAAACAAGGAATTAGTCTACTCGCAAAAGATCTGAATCTTTGAAACATAGTCCAAGCCAAGAAGATTTATAAATCATTATCCTTCAGTGTGGTTTGACAATAGTTTTTGATCAATGGCTGACTGAAAATCAATGATCATAYAGATCGATATAAAAGTCTTTA